TACTGTTCTGAGAATGTTCTGCAAACATTAGTCTGCTTTTCAAAACATTCTTAGAATGTTTATTCAGTGTTCTTTCAACGTTCTGCAAACATTTCGTGGAGATTGTTCCCCAGATGTGATGGATAAGTCGGTTTGCTACGCTCTAAGAGCCATTAGAGAACGTTCCCAGATACATTCGCAAACGTACCGAGAACGTTGCAAATGTTCCTGCTAATGTTCTTGGAATGTCCTTCAAATGTTTCTGTGCTACTCGGGCCGTCCCGCGCCCGTCAAGGCAGAATAGTTTTAGCGGGAACTCTTCTAAACTGAAACAACTGTTCACAGAACATTCACTACAAAATAATTTTCATAGGACTGTCCCTGCGTTCCGAAACTATATAGGCTGGCGGCTGTGGGTGATTCTTCAGGAGCCGAACTGGCGACGTCGTGGGCCGATCGCAATTGAGCTGATTGTGGTCGGCTCAAAATATGAGTTGATAGGAAATGCTTTGAATGATTGCGACCGCGTTTGATTGTCGAGGGTACTCGTAAGAAAATGGAGGGAAAGGGATTGTTGGACGTTGGAGTTTTCGCAACACATAGCCTCGGTCGGCCAGAAAGAGAAAGCGTCGTCAGGCACGCGACGAAAGGGGGGCAAAAACCGCGCAACACAATGCAAAAATTAGTGGTCTTACCGATGGCCAGAAGTGTAGCTGGTGCTGCAGTCTTGGACGGCGACCACTTGACCGTGAGGTTTGTCGCGGAAAATGTCAATCAGCGATGGGTCGTTCGCTAAGAGAAACGGCGACGTCGACAAGTTTCCGCTGTGGGTACACATCCCACTTGTTGTCCTGATTCCACTTTATCAGCATGTACGCCATCGATCGCTTCGAAAAGAACTACAACCGACGAAACTCCACTAGCCTGCAGCGCATCCACCTAAGACAATGCGAGCGGCAAAAGGGAGGAAAATAGGAAACCTGAAATGGAAAGGGGCGACCTCATTTCCACAACCAGCTTTTCCCTTTTCTCCCTCGAACTGCCTTTCTTATATTGCAGCTTGCGAGCATAAACGATTCAGAAAGGGATATGGATTCCAACCTGGATCCAGTTGGCTACGGGTGCAGGTTTGCTAGACCATTCTAAAGTTACTTTTACTTGATTAATAAATATTTATAAATGTATGCGTACAAACCATTCTCATTGTGCCTTTTATTTATTTTATTAGAAAGCACTGTATTTACAACTCACTGAAAGATTTAAGGTTTGTAAATTTGAAAATAACTAATCGGTGCGCGCGCCGGATAGTGGTCACGTGATCTCTATATTCACGTGACTTTCCTCGCGCTTTCGCCCTCGCGCACCGAAACCAGAAACCGAAAGTCGTGGTATACCGTTGTCTGGCGTGCTGGAGGCAAGGCTGGCAGGCCTACAGTCAGAGAATTTGCGAACAAAGCCAAAGCCGCCAAGGCTCCCTTGGTGGTTAACCATCCTGCTGTTCTAAGTCGTATCTCCATTTATTTATAACATGGGACCGAAGAGACGTAATTATAAGCAGTATTTGTGGGACAGCGATGTGCCGGTCCCAACCCGCTCCACCTACTCAAGAACCAGGGCGAGCACCCGGAGCAGCGCGCAGTGTGCACCAACGCCTGCTGTTTCCGAGAGTCCTTCAGTGCCGTCAGATGAGACAGGGCCGCAAGGAACCTGTTCGCTGGCGTTGGATGGCTCCTCGCTGGAGTCGGAGGACGACTTCTGCCTGTCGCAAGATGGAGCCGCCGACCCCTCTGACGACTTGTCCGGCAGTAAAAGCGGTCGTGATGCTTCTAATGAGGAACCTTCAGACAGTGAAGGCGGCAGTGAAGCCCTTCATGAAGGACCTTCGGACAGTGAAGGCGAGAGACTCTCTTAATGAGGTACCGGGAGCTTCTGCTACGTCAGAACTGGTGAGTATATACCGTATTTATTCAAATATAAGTCGACCTTCTTTTTCTTTTTCGGAGATGTGAAATTTTAATGGGGCACTGACACATCAAAATAATTATTTTTTAATTATCCGAAACGATTGAAAACGATGCCGGGACATTACCCTCAGAATTTGAAATTTGGGATTCAGTATTTGTGAAGTAAAAAAAGTGAAAGCCGTTTACAATTCCCTGTAACGCCGGTTAGAGCGCAGCTCTTGAGGAGGAAGGTGGAAGCGTACTGAGGGATAGGTGACTCCTTGAGGTCACTGACCTAAGGGGGCTTGCGTGACCTGAGGGGGGTCACGTGACCTGAAGGGGTCACATGACAGGGGGTCACGTGACCTCAGAGGGGTCACGTGACCTCAGAGGGGTCACGTGACCTCAGGGGGTCACACGACCTCAGGGGGTCACGTGACCTCAGGGGGTCAGGTGACTTCAGGGGGTCACGTGACCTCAGAGGTCACGTGGCCTCAGGGGGTCACGTGACCTCAAGCGGTCACGTGACCTCAGGGGGGTCACGTGACCTGAGGTGGGTCACGTGAGCTGAGGGGGGCCACGTGACCTGAGGGGGGTCACGTGACCTGAGGGGGTCACGTGACCTGAGGGGGTCACATGACCTTAGGGGGTCACGAGACCTCAGGGGGGTCACGTGACCTAAGGGGGTCACGTGACCTTGCGGTTACGCTGACGCCGACGCCGCTCAGGCTGGAAACGGGCCCCTAAGAGCTGCGCTCTAAAAACAATTTCCAAATGCCAAATTCGAAGTTCCCGCGCGATCCGCGCCGGTGCGTTGACGTCAAATATTGCGGAGCCCTGAGAGTCCACTTTCTTTCACGACTCCCTGCTGTCGCCATGGCGACCCAAAGCGAGGAGGAAAGGAGCGAGCGCCGGCGGACCGGTTTTGAGCGGTGTCGCCTGTTTTCCGTGGGAGGATACAAATCCAGGAGACGGCACCACAACGAACTCCCGATTTTTGGTATTTCAAAAAGAAGGGCCGTAGTGCGTTCGCAATTGCGTTAAAAAAACATGTTTTAGGATTGCCGTTATTAAATGTTATAGAGACGTCGCCTACAAAGCTTCTAAATTTCATGATTCTTGACGTCACGAATCAAAGGAAGCGAGGAGGCGAGAGGCGGGAGACTCAAACGCCAAAAAAGGCGCGCGCGCGCAAGAAAATTGTTTTTCGCGATGCGTGTTTTTTTTTGTTTTTTTTTTTTTTGCGTGTCTACGATTACAACTTGCATCGTTTTAGACAATAAAAAAATACGAGCTGGGCATTGGCTGGGCATTTTCGAACCGATTTGAACCGCGCGTCCGCCCGTCGTAAGCGCTGTGGCCGTGGTTGTGGCGGCCGGGGACCCTCGAGGACCATTCTGGGTGTCGTGTTTTCGCGGAAGACGCCGCAAGGCGAGTTCGAGATCCCGTGGCAGTTGCGCGCCCCGGCTTTTGCTTTGCATTTTTTTTTAAAATTACGTTAGATGACAGGCGAAGAAGTTGTATTCCGTCTTCTAACGGTTTCGCCTTCCCCTCCATCTCGGCCGACGTACCTACCCCTATTTTTGTGACGTGTCCGACCCCTGCCATTTTCTTGCCGTCTTTCGCCTTTATTACTTGAAGAAGGGCGTCTGCCCGAAACGTCGTTTATACATCCTTGTCCGCGTATTTTTTCGAGAAGCACAACCTATATATTACTCGCGATGGCGTGCGTTGGACGCGCTCGCCGCTTCCCACCTTGCCATTTCTCCTCCATTCCTCTCGCGGACGCGCAGCACAAGAAAATACTGGGCTAGATGGTTACAAATCCCTGGATAATAATACACCAAAGAAACACGGACAAGGTAGAAAAAGAAAAAGAAAAGAAATCTGAACATTAGAACGCGGCGTACGTCCTGTTTAAAACTTCCTTCGTATTGTCCGTGTTTTTTTTTTTCATAATATTCAGTGAAAATATTTGCTTATAACGTACCACAGGGCGCAACTGGAAATAATGAACAATGCAAATTACGAGCATTGCTTTTAAAACAAATCGATCCCAAGGTGGTTTTTTGTAATTAAAATATACTTTTACATTTTAACACACTACATTGTTCCATATTAAACGAGCTCATCTATTAAAATATATGTCATGGTCACTATATGTTACATAAAAATAATTTAGGTTCAATAAAAGGAGCCTAATTTCGAGTTTTCTGAGATACAAAAAAAAATATAAGGAATGCTGTATACGTCACGGCCAAACTTGGAAGTCTGGAAATCTTGCTGTGGCCCATTAAACATTAATTGAAGTTCTTGATTTCTTCTAAAAATTTTCTATTAGCTCTTTTGATTGATTATAAATTAAACATTGCGTGTTATATATGGTAATCAGTATATATGTGCATAACATTTTCGCTCTAGCTAAATGCCATAGTGATATCAAAAGCTACTATACTTCGTTTCAGCTTTGGTCCGCGCGCGGCCGATGTTATGAGCCGAAGGGCCAATCAAACTGCGAAAGAGGCACAACGTCATGGCATGCTCTCTGCAGTTGATAGGACGAGCCGGTATTCGCCGTCTCTGTCTGCGTGCTGCTCCACCGGCTAGTCTTATCAAGCGCAGAGAGCACGCCATGACGCTGCGCTTTTTGCGGTGTTTGATTGGCCCTTCGGATCATAACATCGACCGCGCTCAGACCGAAGGTGAAACGAAGTATAGCATGAATTTTCCCAGTAATCGGTGGGCACGGTGGCATCGCCAAGATGACAGTCGTTAACACCTTCGTGTGCATTGCACAGGTACTGCTGCTTCTGCCGCCGCACTGGGCCGGTGACGCCGTCAAAAGCTGTCCGGCGGCGATTCATCGAGCTGAGCGCATCATCACGGCTGATAACAAGGAAACAGCGACTCATACAGACCGAAATTTTTTTCGGTGGACCTTCAACGAAAACCTGGAATTCTCAAGATTCACATCGCCATCGACATCGGCTACCTCAGCGCCAGCGCTGCCAAGTATAAAAGACCACCCCCGATCTGCACTCCACCGTGGGCACGGTGGCATCGCCAAGATGACAGTCGTTAACACCTTCGTGTTCATTGCACAGGTACTGCTGCTTCTGCCGCCGCACTGGGCCGGTGACGCCGTCAAAAGCTGTCCGGCGGCGATTCATCGAGCTGAGCGCATCATCACGGCTGATAACAAGGAAACAGCGACTCATACAGACCGAAATTTTCTTCGGTGGACCTTCAACGAAAACCTGGAATTCTCAAGATTCACATCGCCATCGACATCGGCTACCTCAGCGCCAGCGCTGCCAAGTATAAAAGACCACCCCCGATCTGCACTCCACTGTGGGCACGGTGGCATCGCCAAGATGACAGTCGTTAACACCTTCGTGTTCATTGCACAGGTACTGCTGCTTCTGCCGCCGCACTGGGCCGGTGACGCCGTCAAAAGCTGTCCGGCGGCGATTCATCGAGCTGAGCGCATCATCACGGCTGATAACAAGGAAACAGCGACTCATACAGACCGAAATTTTCTTCGGTGGACCTTCAACGAAAACCTGGAATTCTCAAGATTCACATCGCAATCGACATCGGCTACCTCAGCGCCAGCGCTGCCAAGTATAAAAGACCACCCCCGATCTGCACTCCACTGTGGGCACGGTGGCATCGCCAAGATGACAGTCGTTAACACCTTCGTGTTCATTGCACAGGTACTGCTGCTTCTGCCGCCGCACTGGGCCGGTGACGCCGTCAAAAGCTGTCCGGCGGCGATTCATCGAGCTGAGCGCATCATCACGGCTGATAACAAGGAAACAGCGACTCATACAGACCGAAATTTTCTTCGGTGGACCTTCAACGAAAACCTGGAATTCTCAAGATTCACATCGCCATCGACATCGGCTACCTCAGCGCCAGCGCTGCCAAGTATAAAAGACCACCCCCGATCTGCACTCCACTGTGGGCACGGTGGCATCGCCAAGATGACAGTCGTGAACACCTTCGTGTTCATTGCACAGGTAGGAAAACGCTATCCTTTCTGTTACCGTAGCAACAACCTTTGTCTTTTTTTGCTGCCGTGCCCACGGACCTGTTTTGCCTTGTTGTGTGAAATGCGTGCACGATTTGCTGATTTGCTCATGCTGTGCGGAGATATAGAGACCAATCCCGGTCCTGACAGGGCAGCGATGATGGAAATGTTAACTAATATCTCGGTCGACATTAAGGAAATTAAGCTGAGCCAGGCTGCGACAACATCGAGACTAGAGAAAATAGAATCGCGCCTCGAAGGCCTTGAAGAACTCAGGTCCGTTGTGAACAAAAACTGCGACAAGACCAACCGCCTCGAAGCCACCATCACATCACTCTCGAACAAAATTGATGATTTAGAGAACCGTAGCAGAAGAAACAATCTAATTATTTTTGGTCTTTCTGAACTGCCTAACGAAGAGAGTAGCACCCTCGAGGATAGAGTAACTAAAGAGATTCTTGGTGGAAAACTAAATGTAAAGATTAATGGAATCGATCGTATACATCGCCTTGGGAGGCCAGCTCATGGCAAGACCCGTCCAGTAATATTTCGACTCGGAAACTTTAAAGATAAATTGAATATTTTACGCAACTGCAATAAATTGAAAAATGAACGACTCTCGATTAGTGAAGACTACTCAAAGCGAATTCAGGGCATTAGAAAAAAAATTACTTGATAGCTCGAAATCAAATAAACTTGCTGGTGATAAGGTCACGCTTACCTATGAAAAAATTAAGATAAATGGCACAGTATACATTTTGAATGAGGCCATAAACGATAAGGTTCCCATATCTGAGGAAACCCGGAATCCCAGTACGTGACCAAGCCCTACTCAAGTCAACCGTGTATCTGAATTTCGATTACTAAACCTAAACGCGCGAAGCATCGTAAATAAAACTGATAAACTTGAAGCTGCTGTTTTGAATACCCAACCTGATATTATAGCAATGACAGAAACTTGGCTATCAGACAGCATTCTTGACTGTGAAATCACGCCCCCGAACTATACGATTTTGCGCAAGGATAGAGGTTCTCGCGGTGGTGGAGTAGCGATTCTTGTAAAAAATGGCATTGTATGTACCCCCTTACCCGATTGCCCAGAAATTGAGTGCCTGTCATACTTGGGTAGTAATTCAATTACAGTAATTGAATTACTGTAATTTAATTACTTTTCCTGGTAATTTGTAATTGTAATAATTACTTTTGACTAAAAGGAATTGTAATTGTAATTTAATTACTTTCTAGCGTCAGTAATTGCTAAATTTCAGGCACAATTACAATTACTTTTGCAAGATTTTGTGGCGGCGGCGCTTTTCCCCCCTGGCTACGGAGACGACAGCACAGCCAAAGCGACAGGGGATAGAGTGTCTCCCAACCTGCTCAAAAAAGAAAAAAGAGGGATGGGAAAGGGAGGCTGGGATAGAACGGAATGAAGGATTTTGTAGACTGTAAAACGATTTAATGAACAATTTGAGAAATAATTTGATAAATGAAGGCTACATTCGCCTCCGTTTTCGTTTGTGTCGTAGTTGAATCTGACTCTTCGTCTCGTTCGCTTCCCGTTGCTCCTGTTTCTAGGGGTCTTTCTTATTTCTCATTCCCACACGGGGGCATCATGGGTCGAAGTCGAGCTGGTTGGCTCCGATCACATCATCCGGTCGAGGCGGGGAGGTTCGAGGTTCTCCTAACGCGTCTTCGCCGCTAGCATATTCGCTTACATATTTCCGTCAACTTTGGGGACTTTTTTGTTCATGAAATTATTCTCTCTTCTTTATGAGTTTTCTCACGTCCTTCTCCTTTATCTCGTATGTTGGTACCACTAACAGTAAGTCGTGCTACTCTAACATCGAGGCGAAGAAGCAAAGAAGCAGCAGGTCTTATTAACACGACTCACCCTGCCTTACTTCCAACTGTTGTTGCTACACTGCTCTTCCTTCTCCCAGTCCTCGTCTACCTTTTGGAATAAATCTTCATTATTTATTGTTCGCTCTACCTAACCCTTTCAACTGTTTGTCAGCCCGATTGGACGAGATTCCAAAACTTACAAACCACGGCTTTAGACTGTAGGGAGCTTGTTTTTACATTTGTTGTTCGGTGAAGGCTTCTTTTTTTTTTCTTTTTTTTTTATAGAGGGCTTGGCTTGCACTTTATTTTTACACCTCTATCGTGACCCTCCACGCGTCCTCCTCTTGTCCTGGCCTGTGGAACCGTCCCGAGGCGCGCAGTGCTGTTTTGCATTGAAAACCTGCAACAGTCTTATCTACAATGGAAAAGGAAAGGCTGCCGGGGCCTTGTTCCGAAAAATTCTTTAAACAGATTAGCAGCAATGTAAAAATATAATCGTGAGGTGCAAACTCTCCGCACCATGTCTGAAAACAAATTCAACAAACCGAAACGCGACCTCCAATTCGCGAAAACATTTGCAGGTAGGCAACTTTTTTGTCACTTTCAAAAATACTTACAGTTATAAAAAAAAATAATAAAGGCTCGTCTATATCTTCCAGCTGAAACACGCTCAAGTAAATCATGAAATCGAGGCGTCCAAGAGGCCGCAGTTTTGCAATAATTCGCGGATTCTTACATTCGCGACGCGGTGGAGTCTCAATATAGATTCCAATGTGTTTACATTTTACCGGAATTACTCGCGGGACTTATTTTTCGCGAATTGTAGGCGATTCGCGAAATCGAAAATAAAGTCGTTTACAGTGTATCATGAATTTTTCGAGGTTGTTCTTGCCATGCTAAATTCAAATCGGTCTTCTTTATGAGACGCATAACATCGATACAATCATTGCTATCCTAATGATTAGCTACATGACGATCCTAGATTTATTATCTATATCAGGAGCTTTTTTGGGTGTTACCGTGCACTGAATTAACCCAGAATCCCTGGCAATAGAGTTGCTGCTATTGTGACACTAGTTTTGTGGAAGCGACCACAAATCGCGTGCTACGGTTACCCTGTTACAAGTCTACAGACAGGTAGAGGCAGTGAACCATTGTGGCTGAAATGTTTTCGTAAGTTGTCGTATTCTTTAAATGTTTGACATCGTCTACAAGTTTCTCTTCTTAGTCATTTTTACGTGAGTTTTATGGTACCAGTACTGTCGCATATTTGTTTCCTTGTATTATTTTTAAGTTTATTTTTTGTTGGTTTGATTTATATACCATTTGCATAAGCTCTAAGGAGATTCACCTCGCACCTGTGAATTTTGTCGCCATTTATTTTTATTTTTTGAGAATATAAGAACGCAAGAGTTCATTATTCCAAACTATTAAGTTCTATAATCCATTTAACAAATTTCATAAAAGGAAATGCAATGCGTGGCATTTATACACCATTTATACAATACGGCCATATAACTCGTTTACAGTTATATGGCCCAAGGTGGGTAACTCTCAGAAATAAGTAATTGTAAAGTAATTGCATTACTTTTGAAAAGTAATTTGTAATTGCAATGAACTACTTTCGCGTAGTAGTAATTGTAATTGTAGTTAAACTACTTTGGGAGCTAAGTAATTGTAATTGTAATTAAATTACATTTTGAAAGTAATTTACCCATGTATGGTGCCTGTGTTGTAAAATTGCTTATAAAAATACGTGCTGCTATATACTTGTTCTCTATAGACCTCCCACTTCCACTTCAGGGTTTTTCAAAAGTATGTATAGTTATATCAATGATAATATTAATGTGAGCAGTAAGATTATAATTGCAGGTGACTTCAATCTACCTTCCTTAGAATGGTCCTCTCTATCGAAATGTACAGAATCATCTCTCGGCGCAGATATCCTTACAGATCTATGTTTTCATTATAACCTCACCCAAATAGTTACTGAAAATACCCGTATTCAGGGAACGTCGCAATCAATGCTCGATCTCGTCTTTGTCACCGATCATTTCCTGAAAGATGAAAACAGCGTAGAAGTTTTAAATGGTATATCTGATCATGAGATGGTTTTGTGCTGCTTCAAAACGAACATCCCAACTTCTGGCAATCCCCAGACTTGTAAGGTTCTGAACTTTGACAGAGCAGATGACGTTGGCGTGCTCGACTTCTTTGATACACACTTCGATAACTTTCTTCTACTGTCCAAAAGCGACCGTAACACTGTAGATATGCTTTGGAACGAATTCAAAACGGCAGTTAACACGTGGGTCTCATGTTTTATTCCACAACGAACTAAACGAATTATGAAAAACCCTTGGATAACGCGAGAAATCATCCATGTAAAGCGCAAAATAAATAGGCTTCGTAAGAAGGCAAAGAAAACCAGAACTCTTCTAAATAAGAACAAAATGGCATTACTCAACAGCGATCTTGGACAAAAAATCAAGTCGGCTAAATACAATTTTTTCAATATCACTCTCCAATCGTTTATTCAATCTTCACCCGTCAAATTCTGGAACTATGTCAACCCAAAAAACAAATCGAGTCTAGAAACGCTCTTCGGTGACAAAGCAAATCTTGCAAAAGCCTTCAATGATTATTTTCTTTCGGTCTTTACAACAGATAATGGTAATGCACCCTCATTCGCGTCCAATTCTCCAGTCTTGGCTGTAAATGATGTTGTAATTACCGAACAGGGTATCTTATCTCTTCTACTCAACCTGAACACAAAAAAAAGTGCTGGGCCGGACGATATACCAAATGAATTTCTAAAAAGATACGCCGAATGGGTAACAAAATATCTTGTTATAATCTTTACACAATCACTTAACAAAGGGCAACTTCCTAAAGACTGGAAGTTAGCGAAAGTCATCCCCATTCATGAGTCTGGAAACAAAAACGAATTTGCGAACTACAGGCCCATCTCACTTACCTCAACTTGCTGTAAATTGCTCGAACACATTGTTCTGAACTATGTCTCCACCCACATCGAGAATAATAAAATACTTACTCCATATCAGCACGGTTTCAGACGTCACCTTTCAAAAGTGACGCAACTTGTTGAAAGCATTCACGATTTTTCCACTGTCATAAACAATAGAGGACAGGTTGACGCCATATTCATCGATCTGTCAAAAGCCTTCGACAAGGTATCTCACCCAAAGCTATTGTTTAAGCTAGAATCTATACTAGGAGCAGGAAAAATTCTCAGGTGGATTGAAGACTACCTTTCAGATCGCTACCAGTACGTAGCACTTAATGCGCACTCATCATTCAAAGGCAAAGTTTCATCGGGAGTCCCACAGGGATCAGTACTGGCACCTTTTTTGTTCCTAATATACATAAATGACCTGGTCAAAGATGTGAACGTAAAAATTCGCCTCTTTGCTGATGATTGCATACTTTACTCACAAATAAATAACCCAAATGACCAGATTAACCTAAATAATGCGCTTCAACACATCATAAATTGGTGCCACGACTGGCAGATGGAAATAAATTCGAATAAAACTGTATTTATGACCATAACCAATAAAAGACAACACTACTCCTTTCCTTACCAGATAGGCAATAACCTCTAGGAACAAGTCGGTGAATACAAATACCTCGGCCTCAATATAAGTCGAAATTTACGTTGGGACTCACACATTCACTCCACAACTAATAAAGCTCTAAACAAACTGAGTTTCCTTAAACGAGTCTTAAAATTTGCATCTCCTGCCACTAAATTACTAGCCTACAAAACTTTAATACGTCCTATGCTCGAGTACGCCAACGTCGTCTGGT